TGCCAGAACACCAGCTGTTTAAATGACTTCAGGCCCTTCGTCAACCACATTCTAAAAGGGCCTGCTATGAAGTTTGTGCAATGAATGCTTATAAGGGCCAAGGATTGCCTTACCAAGCATAGGAAGTGATTGTGCATATATTTACATACATCATACGGTTGAAATTTGCTGTTTTCAAAGTCACTGATAAGCGATCTTCTTAAACTTGATCGTCAACGTAGCTTGCTGCTGTGATTAAGATCATATTCTTAGTCACAAATGCTTACCTCCACATATCGTCAAATTTTCATGGGCCTACAATGCGCCAGCAGCCATTGTACAGTCATGCTGAAAAGAAAACGGATATTTTCATCTTGCATCGCGTAATCACGCCAGTATTCAGCTGTTAACTACCAAATATAGCAGCTTTCAACGGAACTGGACAAACCACTACCCAGATTTCTACGTCGTAATCGCAATGGTCCTTACTTCGTGATGCCAAAGAATCTCTTCAGCATGCCACGACTCCATATCATTTGAATGTCTGCAGCGTGTGGATGCTATCTCAGAATGGGTTCAAACAAAAACACATTGAAATCGAGTGATGGAGTAGGACATAACCTCAACTTTCTACGCAGTTTTATTAAATCAAGCCAGGCGCCTGTGCCTGGTCCTTCAAGCAGATTTTCAGACGGTCGGTAGCTAGATTCGCTAAAGAGTAAAATATATGCTAATCCATTTTATTTTCGAGTTCTCAAACATCTTTTGCTAGTTTGCACCTGTCAAACTTATGGATACAGAATATACAGTAGATATTACACAATACATCATTCGTACAATACTGTATCGACAGAGTTCCAGACAGCAAAACAAAAATAATACAAAACAAAAAACAAAATTCAAAACAAAACTCAACTCATGGATGAGGCAATGACTTCAAAAACATCATCCGTAGACTTTTTTAACAGATCGTGAAATTCGGCGTACAGCCTCTGCAACTTTGGATTGAGCGCAATGATTTTTAACGCCTCTTTCAGCACCGATATCTTTGAAATTTCCTAAAACAAAAAATGCAAGCTATTAAAAATTATTATTATAAATAAAAACAAGGTATTCGTATGCCAGAGTATGTCAAATAACGAATGATTCCCCAAAAGCCAGATTTCGTGGCATATTTCTCTGCCCCTTTGCACTAGTTGCCTGGAGGTTATTAAGAAGGCAAAGACTGCATTGAATTTGACACGTGTAGTGCCAGATGCATTTGTGCGCTAAAGCCATCTCGCACGCATCATGTACGAGGCTAAAGAAATTCG